GACTTTGGACTTCCCAGCCTGCAAAACTGTAAGGAATAAATTTTATTTCTTTATAAATTACCCAGTGTCCGGTATTTTTGTTATAAGCAACAGAAAGGAATACAGTTGCTCACTCCAAATTTTTTCCAGAGGGTCATTTTCTATGTACACTCCATTAATGTGCTGCTTGATTGCAAAAGTCTTCTGATGGTTCCCAATCCCTCACTGTATCAACGGGCTGACCTCTGTCTAGTAATGAAGCTGGTCTCCTCCCCCCTCCTTCTCCTCTCTCTCTAGATGACCTCATCTACTTCCATGTCTATAAATATCATCTACATATGTTGATGGGTCCTACCTATATATCTCTAAAACTGAGCTCTTCCTAAAATCTGGTACAGCCAAAGGAGACCTCTTGATCTCCCCAGCTCCTAACTCATCTCACCCATCTCAATAATCAGCACCACCAATTACCCTGTAAAATCAGGCCAAAACTCTGAGAGTCTTCCTTGGTTCCTCTTTTCCTCTCCCTCCACATCCAGTCTGTCAGCAAGGCCTGTCATACCTACATTCAAAATATATCTTGGGTCTAATAATTTCTCTCTAGTTCTATCACTATCACTCTAGTCCAAACTATAATTATCTCTCATCTTCTTCTACAACTAACTGGTTCTTCCTGCTTTTCATTGGCCACAAGTCATTTTCTTTTCTTTTCTTTTTTTTTTTTTTTGGACCAGTAAGGGGATCGCAACCCTTGACTTGGTGTCGTCCGCACCATGCTCAGCCAGTGAGCGAACCGGCCATCCCTAGATAGGATCCGAACCCGTGGCCTCGGAGCTAACAGCACTGCACTCACCCGAATGAGCCATGGGGCCGGCCCCACAAGTCACTTTCTAAAGCATCAAAGTGGGTTTATTTACATCACTGTCAAAGACTTTTTCATTAAAACTAAATCAAATTATAATATAAATATACATTATAATATTCCCATGAGTAGAACACTCCAATGACTTCCCACTGCACTTTGAGTAAAATCCTTACCATAGCCTACAAGGTCCTCATGATCTGTTTCTTGATATACCTTCCCATGAGCTCAATCAGTTTGCTCTAGTCAAGCTGGCCTTCTTTCAGTTCCTGAACATAGCAAGTTGTTTACCCCTTCATGGAACTTAAATTCAGCTGTTCCCTCTGTTGGGAAATTCTCAACCCCAGGTCTTTCCATGGCTGGCTCCTTTCTACCATGGGTCTCCATAAATGTCACCACCTCAGGAACACCTCCCCCAACCACCTGCCCAGTATAGCCCTACTCCCTCAATAGTCACTCTCTATCATATTACTCTGTATTTCCTTTGTAGTACTTATCACAATTTTGTTTATCTATTAAACAAAATTTTTAAAAATAATATTTTGTTTGTTTACTTATTACATGTGTTTCCCATTAAAGTATAAGCTCCATAAGAGCCTATGTGTCCATCTTGTTCATCAATCTTCAGCATCTAGCACAGGACCAAGTATATAGTTGACATTTATTAAGTATCTCATGAATAAATGAATTAATTACAAACAAAGAAGATATTTTCTCAATCTCCCAAACCTGTAGCAGTTCAATAAAGTAGGTCAGGGTCAAGCTCTAAAATAGTATATAAAAACTAGGCTTGAATAAAATTATTACATGACTACATAGTGACAGGGAGCTTAAAATTCATTATTGTAATTATGCATCCTTAACTTATACCTTTTTTTAACCCTTTCATCTCCTAAATTAAAAATATATTTGACCTTTAGCAAGACAATATCTCTTTTTTCTGAGTCAAACCATGTACTTTCAAAATCTTTCCTGAAAACTTCCTACTTTATACCCTCATTATAGTCTCTTCAGACTTCTATCATAACATTACATAAGGGTACTTCAAAAAGTTCATGGAAAAATAGAATTAAAAGATAATATGAATCTTTCCATGAACTTTTCGAAGTACCCTCATATTTTTTATTTACCTATTGATCAATGATTTATTAGGTACCTACTCTTGTACTCAATACCGTAGTTGTTGATGATTAGGAAGCAATTCCTAGCCTCAAGATTAGCAAATAGATAATAAATAAGTTTATCTAATAGGAAATAGTTAATATTATGTTTAAAAATATAAACACAATACCTAATACAATGTTGTTGAGTAAAATAATAATAATGAACAGTGTATAATGGGAGCAAAGAAGAAGTCATCTACCCAAATCCACAGGCATAGGAGAAGGCTTCCTGGAGTTGATTACTGAGCTGAATTAGAGACAGCCAGGTAAAAGAAGCATGGATAGTGAGAGAACATGCTAGGCAAAAGCAGCGAGGTGGGAAATGTCATATTTCCTTAAGGAATAATAAGCAAATCCATGTTGGTGGAGCATAAAGTATGATATGGAAAGTGGTGAGAGAGGAGGCTGGAGAATAAGCCAGGGTCACATCATAGAAGGCCTTGCATGCCACATTAAGCTTTAATTCTATAGGTTATGGGAAGCCACTAATGGCTGCTTTCATCATGACAAGAGATGAAGTTCTGATCTAAGGCTAGAACAAGAACAGAACTGATTTGAGAAATATTCACAACATATCAAGACTAATTGTTTGACAGATACATAGTTGGGGAGAAGAAAAGAGAAGTTAAGACTCAGATATTTTAACCACAAGTAACTGGACAGATAGAGATAACAACGAGAAGAAGGAAGGAGTCTTGCGGAGGAAGCTAATGAGTTCAATTTTTTGACATGTTAAGTTTGAGGTATTTGTGCATAAAAATCTCTGGGAGTCATCTACACGTGGAAGGTAGTTGAAATCAGAAAAGAAGAGAACCATCCAGGGAGATTCAAGGAAAGAGAACAGTGGTCGCAGCCAGGCAAGGAAGAGAAATCCATGAAGATAACAGAGAAATAATAGAGAACCAGAAGAATAAATATAAGGGAATGTTAGAAAGGAAATAAATGGTCAACAGTATCAAAAGCCAGCTGGAATTGTTGCTATTTTTTATTTCAGTCATTCTAACAGGCATGGAGTAAAAACTTATCACAATTTTAATGTGCATTACCCTAATGGCTGATCATGTTGAACATCTTTCATGTGCCTACTTACTATTCATATATCCTCTATGGCAGAATGTCTGTTCATGTCTTTTACCCATTTTCTAATTTATTGCTTGTTTTTATACTGTTGAGCTTTGAGAATTCTTTATATAGATATAAGTCCTTTTTGAACATGTAATTTGTGAATATTTTCTTCCAGTGTATATCTTGTTTTTCATCCTCTTCAAGGTCTTTCCTGAGCAATAGTTTTAAATTTTGATGAAATCTAATTTATTGGGTTTTTAAAATTTTATGGATTAAGCTTTTGAGGTCATGCTTAAGAACTCTTTGCCTAGCCCTAGGTTTTCTTTCAAAAGTTTTATAGTTTTATGTTTCTATGTTTTCTTCTAAAAGTTTTTTTTATAGTTTTATGTTTCACATCTAAACCTATATAACCACTTTTTAGTTAATTTTTGAATAAGGTGTGAGGTTTAGACTGAAGTTTTTCTTTTGTTTCACTTTGTTTTTATGGATATCCAATTGCTCCAACCCACTGCTTGAAAAGACTATCCTTCCTCCATTGAATGATTTTTCCGCCCTAGTCAAAATCAGTGGGCTATACTTGTGTGGGTCAATTTCTGGGTCCTTTATTCTGTTCCATTGACCCATGTGTCCAAATATTTCAAAAGAAGATTTTTAAAAAGTCAGATGGAGGTCTAGAGAGAGGATTATTGACAAAATATCCTTTGGATTGGCAATTAGTGGTCACTGGTGATATTAATAATAAAGTGGTAGAGCTCATAGAATCCAGATTGCTAAGAGTAGTGGACTCAAGAGTGAATGACTGTTTTCATGCCTGACAAGATCTGCGAAGGAACAGTAAGAATGCTAAACACATACACACAAATATGTCTTGCAATGCACCCAGGCTCACAATAAATATTTATTAATGTTTGGGGGTTGTTTTGTATCAGTTCTTATACCTAGTAAAGAAGCAGATCCATGTCCAAAGTCTCCAGAAAAGCTGAGAGGCAGGGGAAGGAGGATAAAAGGCATTTAAAAAACAAAAATGAGGGGCCGGCCCGGTGGCGCACTGGATAGTGCGCTGCTTGGGAGGCGCGGCGGCGCTCCCGCCCGAGGGTTCGGATCCCACATACAGACCGGTTCCCGCTCACTGGCTGAGCGAGGCGCGGGAGCAACACCGAGGGTTGCGATCCCGTTGCCGGTCCCCGGTCCGGTACGGGGGCAACACTGAGGGTTGCGATCCGTTGCCGGACACGGAAAAAGACAAAAGACAAAAAAAAAAAAAAATGAAAACCTGCAATAGCAAAAAGAGGTTCTCCAAATATCCTCAATCCACATGAAGGTATTATCCTCAGCCCTCTATCCCCAAAGAGAATTTAAAATGTATTGGGAAGTTTATACCCCCCATCAGGGAACAGTGTGTAACCAGCTCCATAAGTTTCTGTATCCTTTGCTACTAAAGAAATTTTACATGCTATCATCTTTCCACCAATCACATGACCTTGTCACCCATGCAGTTAATGTCTTTTTTTTTTTTTTAATTGCTAGCAACTAGCATGTGGCTAGCACATAAAAGATTCTCAATAAGTATAGTATTAGTTGAATGGATAAATAACCATCATTATATCAATATTAGGATCAATTATTGCCCCAATGAAAAAAAGGGAGATACATTTCCTTTATAACTGCCACTTCAAATATTTTTTCAGTTGTTTGCAATAAAAACTAATATTTATACAACTAATCCTCAAATAATGAATAGCAACAAAAATATAACTCTTAAAACCCATACTATCATCAATTATATGCATGTTCCCTGAGCAGAGAAAATAAAAATCTGTTTCTAAATTTCTTCCTTTTCTAAAATGGGACTTAGCAGATGATCTTAGAAGGAACTACTTTGTCATAATTTAAACATTTTCAAAACAAGAAATGTAAAAACTTGAACTCACTCCTTTTTTTTTAATTTCACTGGTCATCTGTCAAAAAACAAACAAGACATAATTAAATCAAGGAAGAGATTTTTTAAATTAATTTAAACTTTTTAAATTAAAAATATAGTTTAAAATATATATATTATTCCTTTATAAATATAAGTTATATTGAGATTGACTTAATTAAGAACTAAAATGTGTAAGAATACATTTTTTAAAAAGAAAACATAAACTTACAGTTGAAGGATAATCGGGCTCTGGTAATGAAGGTGTTCTTTTATCCAGTGTTCTGTCTAAGTTTCTTTTGGCTCCATCAATTCTGACATTTATAGTTAGAAAAATGTATGAATCTCTTGAAGTTAACATTGCCATAAATTATTAAAACATTACAATTTGAACATTCTTTCAACCATACTAAAAGAAGAAATATTCAAGAGTTATCTCACTGAATTTTCTATGAGAAACAAATCTCAATAGCTATTATCAATGAGAACTTAATTTTTAAATTATTCATGTATAATGTGAAAGAGTGATACTAAAAATAAAAATCAATTTTTTTCAATTATAACTTATTGACAATTTAAAAATTAATGCTCATGTAGAGTGGGCCTTTATTTGTATTATCTCTGTTCAAATGCTACCCTGTCATAGAAGCTTTCCCTCACCTTCTGTATTAAGTAGTAACTCCTTCTCTATCCATTCCTTTTATCCTTACTTATCTTGCTTCATAGCACTTACCATCATTTGATACAGGATATGTTGTAGACTGTTCTATTCATTGCTGTTATCCCCAATGCCTAGAAAGTACCTGGTACGTAGTTGGTGCCCAATAAACAGTTTTTGCCTTCAAAACTGTTCATGGATTTTTATCATCCATAAAATATAATTTCCTTTTTAAATTAAATTGTATCAAATTATATAATCCATCAACTGTCAATAAATATTTATTAAATGCCTACATTATACAAGTCACCATAGTAGGTGCTATTAAAATATAGCAGCAACAAATCTCAAGGAATTTATAAACTGACTAGATGAGTAGAAAAAAACAGTGCCATATGGGCACGCTGGTGGTTCAGAGGAGGGACAAGTTTACTTCCACCTCAGAGTACCTGTGAAAGCCACATGAACACATTGCCATTTGCAATGAGCATTAAATGAAAAAGAGGATTTCAGGTGAAGATGTGGTTTTCCTGGGATCTGAGAAAACAAACACCCTGAAAAATAGGAAGGCAAAGGAAGGATCAAAGAGGAAAAGGGGGTGCAGGGAGTTGTACAATCTGCCCAATGCTTACAGATCAGGTAAAGATAAGTCTGAAGAAGTGGATTGGAATATCCAGCTAAGGGCCTCAACTAGCAAGCTTTCTTATTCAAAAGACTATGGGGATTCAGAGAGTTTTTAAGCATGGAAACATTTCTAGGAAGATAAATCTAACCATTTATAAAGGCTAGATACGCTGGAGATGGCCAAAGAAGCAAAAAAGAAAAAGAGACTTCAGAAAAAGACTGAAGGATGCCAAGTGTGACAGGAATGAGACAAAATAACAATTGAAGGAGCAAAGGAGATACCGTCAGAAAGGTAAGAGGAGAACCAAAAGGAGTTTCAAGGAAAGGCTGACCACTGGAACCATAAAATCATAGACTGGTAAACTGCATAAAAACAAAGACCATGTCTGTTTTGCTCACTGTTTTATCCACACCACTTAGTGTCCATCAAGATGTAGGAGCTCAATAAATATCTGTCGAATGAATGATCAGAATACTGGACTTAGAAAAGATTTCACATGTCTAGTTCAGTACCTTACCTGGCACATGAATACTCTCAACAATATTAAGTTGTACCCATGGTACCCTGGGGTCGGGGGAAGGGTGGGGAATGGCAGTCATCACTTTCTGAGGCAGCCCAAATTATTGACAGCTAGCTCATATTCTTAGAAACAAATTTCCTATATTGAGTTGTATCCTTGCAACTTGTATTCCATGGAACTATATAGAAAAAGGCATATTTTTGCATGTTACCCTTCCAAAACTTAATGATACATATCCAGTTCCTTCAAGTATTCCTGTTAATAAGAATTACTGTTTGTGGTGTGTTTATTATGTTCCAGGCATTGGCTTAAGATCTCTATGTGAATGGATCTCATTTAACTCTCACAACAATGCTAAGAGAACTATTTTTACCTCCATCTTATAGACAGATACATAAAGATAAAGTTACATAAAATTCCATTTTTAAAATCTCCATCTTATAGACAGAAACATGAAGATAAATAAAGTTATGTAACATGCCAAATTCACACGGCTAATAAGCTGCCTCTAGATGGGATAAGAACTCAGGCCTGACTGATGCCAGAGCCTATATTCTCACCAGTTAAGCAAATCAGCTTCCTTCAAATTATGTAGTTACAAGTTTCCTCACTCACCTTTGTAGCTATTCTGGTTTATTAATGTCCCTCTTAAAGGGTAATACCAGAATTCCAGAAGTCATTTGACCGGTGCAGAGTAAAAATTTTCTCTCTCATATTCTAATCATTCTACATTTATTGAAGTAGCCTAACACAAAAATACAAATACCACATGATCTCATTGTGCAGTCTATGCATGTATTGAAACAACACACTGTACCCCACAGATAAGTACAAGTAAATATTAAAATTAAATTTTAAAATTTTTAAAATAAAATAAAATAATAAAGTAGCCAAAGACAGAATTAATTTTTGAGTAGCCTCATTTTTCTGTTGAATCTTATTGAGCCTGTACTACACTAAAACTCCTAAGACTTTTTCTGAATTAGAAAATGTGCCTGGAACAACCCCCTCCTTCTTTTCTTGTTAATCTTCAAAACCCAGGCCAGACTTCTCTTCATCTATCCTATCTCCCTGAATAGTCTAGCTCTTAGCCATCATTACTTTCAAGGAATTTGCCTTATACTTTGGTATGCTATTCATAGGCAGGCTTGCACTGTACTTATCCCAACATAAACATACTTGATTTCCTTGAGCTTATTATATATAAATGCCACCCTTTAATATAGCAATAATTTCTGGGGTGTGTTTTCTCCCACTGACTATAAATAAAAAGAGCTGAGAAGAAAATAAGAGTGAGCCTTTTCATTCCCTGTCTGTCTTTGCTTTGCATAATAACAATAAAAACAAACAAACAAAAATTGGATAATTTCAAAAGACTGCATGAGAGACCACATGCGGTAAGGAGAGAAACACTGGCTTAAATCAAGAGGGGAGGTAGAAGCCACGGAAGAAGACAAGCTCATTCCCGTGAAAGCTACAAAGTGATGTTGGCTCAGCCAGGTGTTCCCTGGGACTGGTCCCAGCAGGGGGCTCAATTCTGCCCATGACTCCTTACATCCTACCTCATCCCTGGACCTCCCTCTATTCACAGACTTCACCCCACCTTTGAAACAGAGAAGTCTGCATTTCTATCACCTAACAGATAGAGGTAGCAAGAGAATGGAGAATCACAAAGTCCATGACCATCCAGAAATATGTGTTTCCAATATAAAAACCCTTAATTCTAAATGCATTTTTCCCAAAGAAACAAATGGCAAGTTTCAATCTCAGTACTAATATAGCACTATGCTTCAGGTAATTTTGAGGCAGTATTTTAATTAAAAATAATACTCAGGGCCGGCCCCATGGCTCACTTGGGAGAGTGTGGCGCTGGTAGCGCCGAGGCCGTGGGGTTGGATCCTATATAGGGATGGCCGGTGCGCTCACTGGCATAGCATGGTGCAGATCACACCGTGCCAAGGGTTGCGATCCCCTTACCAGTCAAAAAAAAAAAAAACTCAAATGAAAGTACTATTTAAAGGGCCGGCCCGGTGGCGCACTGCTACAGTGCGCCGCTTGGGAGCGCAGCGGCGCTCCCGCCGAGGGTTCGGATCCCACATACAGACCGGTTCCCGCTCACTGGCTGAGCGAGGGGCGGGCGCAGCACCGAGGGTTGCGATCCCGTTGCCGGTCCCGGTCCGGTACGGTCGGGCGCGACACTGAGGGTTGCGGTCCGTTGCCGGACACGAAAAAAGGAAAAAAAAAAAAAAGAAAGTACTATTTAAAGATCTGTATAAATCACAGTAAGGTAAGGTTCTTCCTTAAAAGAAAATTCATTCATTCACTCATTCATTCACCAATAGTAACATGCCAGACACTGTGCTTTGTGTTGAGATCTCTCTCCTTAAGCATGTCAAAGTGAAGTGTAGGAGAAAGACAACTAAGAAAATAAATGGAAATCCATTGTGTTCTAATATACTCTGCTCCCTCTGCTTATGACATCCTGCTCTTCTGCTTTTCCTCCTGCCCCATTCAGTCTATTAGCTGGTTGACACTTTTCCACATAACATCTAAATGTAATTGTTCCTAAAGTCTTAGCTCTAGGCCTTCACTCTTCTCAATTTTCACTCTCTCTTTCTCTCTGTAAGTGATTTCCGCGATTACCCATAGTTTAAAAATCATCTACATTTTGGTGACTTCCAAATTTATATCTTAGCGTAGTCTTCTCTTATGTATCCAACTGTCTATTAACATATTTCCCCTTAAATGTTACATAGACACTTGAACTCCAAAAGAGAATTAGTGCTTTTTACCCCCCAGATCCTGGACTACCATTTCTCTGTACTTGACACTACCAGCAATTTAGCTACCAAAGCCAATCCAATAGGAAATCCTATTGATTCTGGCTACAAAATACATCCCTTGTAAATCTTCTCTCCTCCTCCGCTTATCCAAACCACCTTAAGTTCTCATCTGTGCCACATGGTCTCCTTGTTTCCTTCTACTCTTGCCCTCTTTCCCTCTACCTCAGTCTATTCTTAATAGCCAGAGTGTTATCTTTTAAATGTAAGTCAGATTTCATGTCACTTCTCTGTTTAAAACATTTTGATACCTTCCACTGCACTTAAAATAAAAATCTGAATTCCTTATCATGGCCTTCAAAGCTCTGCACAATCTGCTCCCTCCTTCCTTTCCATCTTCACCTGACACCACTCTTCCCCAGGCTTGTGGATACTCTAATGACATTGGCCTTTGTCAATTTCTAGAACACACTAAAAGCATTCATATTTTAGGGTTTTCATGCTTGCTATCCCCTTTGCTAGAGTGCTTTTCTCCTGTTTATTTAAATGACAGGTTTTTCTCATTCTTTAGATCTCTTACTTACATATTATCTCCACAGGCCTTTTCTGCAGTGTTCCTGGGAACACCCTCCCCATCACTCTCTGTCTCACTATATTATTTCATCATAGCACCCATCACCATCTAAAAGGTTCACTTTTTTTTTTACATTTTTTTTACACTTTTTTTACATTTGTAAAAAATACACTTTTTTTTTTACATTTGTCTCCTCCCACTAGCATACAAAGTTCTTAAAGACACAGTTCTTTCTGTTGTGTTTTCTACGGTCTCCCCACTGACAAGCAAAGTGTCTGTGTAACAGCAGGTATTTAATATCTGCTAAATAAACTGATGTAAAAGAAATATGTAGGAAAGGATATAACAGAATGAAAGAGATTTGGAGAAGGCTTTCTAGAGGAGGTGATCCATAAACTAAGCCTTGAAGAACTTGCATAAGTATTCAGGCGAACAGTACAGTGAAGGAAATTGCAGAGTACATCTCTAAACTGTGAAAAATATAGTATATTCATGAAATTGCAAGTAGTTCAGTATGACAGTGTAACATAATGAAAAGTGCTGGAATAAGAATAATCTAAGTCTACTGAAACACTAAGTACAGTTTTAGGAATGGAGGGGGTAAACAATCTCTGATAGTACATGTACTGATGTTATTTAATATATCTTATAAATTCAGAATTAAATATAAGTAAATGATTGATGGACTAATAAAAAATGTAAATCTAAAGAAGTTATATGATTAACAGGCCTGTTTAATTGTAAGGAAAGTAAAATTAGCAAAAAATTTAATTATTAAATTAGCAACAATATGATCATAAGCAATGTAACATTAAAATCTAGTCAGCTGCAAAAATGTTTATAAATGAGGCCAACCAAGAAAGGAAAGAGAATGCAGAAAGAGAAGCAGGAATCCACCAGAGAGAAATTTCCCATTTTATAGTTCAGTGTCGGATTGAAATTTTGTAAATGAGATCCACATCATTTTCTTTTTCATCCCCAGGGCCCAGCAGAGTCAGGTGCTTAGGAAATTTTCAGTAATTGCTGAATTGAACTGAACCATCCTTATCACAGCCTGTGTAGCTGGTACCTAAATTAGTTTCAATTTCCACTAAATGGGGGGAGTTGGGTGGGGAGGGACAGGATGTCGGACTATGTTTCTTCTTGTAAAGAAAAAAATTAAATACAAATAGTTTCAAGATATTTTGTAAAGTATGTGTTCAAATGCAATGTTATTTGTTGAGGCCCAATTACTTGGTTTTACTTTCAGGGACTAGTATGGTTATAATATATTGAGGAGGGATAATATGGTGCTTAAAGAATGTGAACTTTAAAACCAGACCATCTGGGTCCAAACCCCATCTGCATGACCTGCGGCAAGTTAATTAACTTCTCTGTGCCTCAGCTTACTTATCTAAAAAATAGAGATAACAACAGTACCTACCCGATAGGGTTGTTGTGAGAAGTACAGGTAAAGTAATAAGAACAATGTCTAATAGAGTAAGCACTGTATAATATTTACTGTCATTACAATTACTTTTCAATTGTTTTTCTAATTAAGTTGAAGACAGTATTTTGCCCATGAACAACCTACATAGTTAAAGCTTTTTAACAGAATATGAATACTAACCATTTCTCTTGGCTTCTAAGAAAGAACTATTTACTAATATGTTACTTACACTAACTGATTAATTTTCTTCTGCTGCTCCTTGGATCTTCTGTAGTTTAGCAGCTTACTTTGTGTTGGTGTGTCAACACCTATGTCATCTGGGGGATGGACAATGGGGGGTAACTTCAATTTCAGAGCTTCCTTTTCTGCTGCAATGGCAGCTTTGTTTGGATCTGACATCTTGGTCCGCTAAAGATTAAAATACTCTATACTCTGAGAAGAAAAATTTCATAAAGCCATTATTGCAAAAGCAAGCCTCAATATATCCATATCTTACATATCAATACCAAAAAATAAAATCTAGACCCTTTCAGATTTTCCTCCCAAGTATAGTATTAGCCTAAAGAATGGCAGTTGAGATAAGTGGACAGGGATTCCTGTTAGAGCTCTACCATTCACTTGCTATGAAGAAATGAACCAGTCACTTCCCCTTTAGGGCTTCTGTTTCCTAATGGATGAAATTTAAAAACTGAATTAAATACTCTCTAAATAGCCTTACATCTCTGAAATTCTGGTTTCAGAGTTTGTCCTAGATGCAAACCACAACAAATCCAGCTGTTCAGAGAGAATCATTCTCCCAAAAAAGCTAATATTTGACATCATTAACATTTTTAAACATCAATAATTGTATCTTAGTCTTGCTAGAAAATGATGCCATGCTCAAGCAAAAACAGGCATACTTAATGCATAGCAAATCTAAAATGACATGTAGGGCCGGCCCAGTGGCGCACTGCTACAGTGCGCCGCTTGGGAGCGCGGTGGCGCTCCCGCCGAGGGTTCGGATCCCACATACGACCGGTTCCCGCTCACTGGCTGAGCGAGGTGTGGGAGCAACACCGAGGGTTGCGATCCCGTTGCCGGTCCCGGTCCAGTACGGGCGCAACACTGAGGGTTGCGATCCGTTGCCAGACATGAAAAAAGACAAAAAGGAAAATAAATAAATAGATAAGTAAAATAAAATGACATGTAAATGCTCAACAATTTAACTGTGATACGAACTACACTGGCCGCGAATGCCCACAGGATTTGGAGATTCCTGCCTTGAAAGAAAGACTATTTCTGCTGGCACCCAAATTGCGATTACCTGCCCTGGGAGGGAGACGATGAGAAAAGCAGAGAACAAGTACCTGTCTCTTTTTCAGTACTTCCCGGCTGCCCAGACGAGAGAGAAAAGTTCAGAATTTCTCCTTTGGTGAAAGGAAGGGAGATAACGAGGGGTGAAACCTCTGGAACCCCACAGGCTCCCGTCCGAGTAGCTGGAGAAGAGCGGTCGTCGACTGGGTAGAAACAAAATCGTCGCCATGGAAACTGTCGCGGCCGGCCGCAGCCGGAGGGGTTGGATGAAGGTTGCCTGGAGAGGCAGTTGCTGAGCAGCGACAGATTAAGGTTATCTGTCAGAACAATTCATTACTCAAGTAAATGTAGGGTGGAGGAGAGATTTTTTTTATATAACTGCCTTCCGTTGGAAGGAGTAAAGGAAATCACGTACTTCAAATTGTGGAAAACTGCAAAACTGGAAATTTGAATCCGCTGGCAAATAAGATTCATATAAACACTCTCAAAAGAGGAGGATCAAGTCTTCCAAGTGTCCCCTAGTGACTTCCTGTAAATATTGTAACTAACCAGCAATATAACTTATCGTTTCTATATTTGCAATTTGTTTATACAGCACTTTCAGGAAATCCTTGACAAAATCAAACAGGTTAAGAGGTGTGAAATTTTTTGAGTACCCTTGGAGAGAGAAATGTGAAATTTTGTTTTTCGAAGCTTCACAATGTATACTCCATCTAAACAATGATAGCCTATACGAATACTAAGTGCCTAAATAAAATTGGGGAATAAATAATTTCTGGTGGTATATTGATGGTGTATTCATTTGACAACTATGAGTACTTGTTATGTGCCGGTCACTATGTAAAGAATTTTTTGTTGTTGTAATGAGAGTACAGCCTACACTATTGTGTCTGGCACACAGAAGGTGCTCTAAAAGTGTCATGTGAGTAAATGAACAAATTAAACTTCCTGGTAGTTTGTAAAAGCACAATATCTTTCTGCAGAAAAAAAAACACCCAATAACAACAACAAAAAAACACCTGTACAAGTGGTAGTTCTTTAAATGTCAATTTGGTTGGGCTAAACTACAAAGACTAAAGGGGAGGAAGCAGTCTTTTGCATGATACCTTCTTCCAATTATTCAAGCTAACACTAATCTAGTGCTGCTGTGAAAACATTTTGCAGATACTAGGTCTTCAAAAAGTCATTTTGGCTATTCTAGGCCCTCTGCATATCCACATAAATTTTAGGATTGGTTTGTCAATTTCTGCAAAAAAACCCAGGTGGGATTTTGATAAATCCTTTGCTTTGAAGAAAGGAAAAATTTTAACTATCTAAACATACTAATTTACAGCTGAAAATCCTTCCTTAAACACTCTAGTTCTGAATCTAAGAACTATTAGAAATACTATTTAGAAATAGTATTTAGTTAGAACTAGTTTAACTAGTTAGAAATACTATTTATGTGAGCAGACAAGTTTATTTTGCAAAGCCTCGATTATTTAAAAAGCATTAATGGATATGACACCAAAATGTGATTCTCTACTACAGTACCAAAATTTTCTTTTTCTTTATAATAGAAATATGAAGATGTTAAGAGAATTTATGAGACTGATTTGCTATGCTTCATACTATGCATTGCTCATTTCAAAATTTAAAATGGGAGTGCAGGGAAAAGAGTCCATAAGATTAAGAGTTCTTTCCAGAGCTGAACTTAGATAGATTTTACACAGGTTTTTTGATTAAATTTTGTTAACTGATTTTTGATTGCTGTTATACTAAATAACATTATTATATTAAATAGCTGTATTGTACACTATGCTATATAGTATATATATATATATATATATATACTATATAGTACATATAATAATGTAACTGTTTTAATTACAATAAATGCTTTAAAAAATAAAAGAAACAAATAGAAGAGAGAGGCTGATCGCTCAAAAAAAAAAAGTAAATGGAAATTCAGTTTTGAATACATGGGGAAATACCCTGAAGTGATATCATTGGGTACTACTCAAATCTTCTTAGTGAGTGCTATCATTCAAAACTACAGTATCACGTTGACCTTAAGTAAAAAAAGATAGAGGAATAATAATAATCTATGCAGTTAACTGCCAGTGTTATTAGCAATATTGGAGGTAATCAAAATAAACTAGGCTTTACACATGAATATTTGCTGATATATATATATAAATAACAAAAATAACCTCATCAGCCATAAGTCTGATTAGTGGAAGTTAGCTTATGTTTTTTTGCATACTTAGCTTGTGTTAACTGTGTTTCTTGACCAAGAATGGGTGGATAAAATTATTTCTATTAGCCATTTCTTTTTGTATCGGGGAAGGTATACAATTTGTTCAGTCTTCCAATCTCAAATTTAAAGTATATAATTACAATTTATATAATTTGTGAGGCTATAATTTAGCCTCATAAAAATATAGCTTCAAACATGCTATTTATTATGTATTACTTTCAAGTCTGTGAGCTCAAATTAAACTTTCTATGAGAAGTTTTAACACTTTCAGAACAGCTCCTGAAAAAATTGACAAAACATAGTGAAAAGAGGAAGGTACCAAACCACGGGCACGCTGTTTCTATTTGTGTAAAAAAGTGGGAGGACAGGTTTCATAAATGTTTGTGTATGTGTATGAGTCAGGGGTAGGAAGGATACTTTTTTTTTTAACTTCTTAATATAGATTGTAGTTGATTTTCATGACCATTTACCTGTTACTCTTTTCCCCCTCCTTCTCTCCCCTGCCCCCAACTACATATCTATTCACTTGTCTTAACAAATTCAAGGAATTGTGATCGTTGTCTTCTTCCTCCCCCCTTTATTTGTACGTCTGTTTATTTATTTTTAGCTACCATAAATAAGTGAGAACATGTGCTATATCTCTTTCTGTGCCTGACTTGTTTCACTTAATATAATTTTCTCTAAGTCCAACCATGTTGTTGCGAATGGTAGTATTTCATTCTTTATTATAGAAGAGTAGAATTCCATTGTGTAGATATACCACAGTTTCCTTATCCACTCATCTGATGATGGACATTTGGGCTGGTTCCAACTCTTGGTTATTGTAAACAGTGCTGCAATAAACATTGGAGTGCAGGTATCCCTTTGGCATGATGATTTCCATTCCTCTGGGTTTATTCCTAGCAGTGTAATAGCTGGGTCACATGGAAGATCTATCTGTAATTGTTTGAGGAACCTCCATACCATTTTCCATAAAGGCTGCATCATTTTACAGTCCCACCAACAGTGTATGAGAGTTCCTTTTTCTCTGCAACCTCACCAGCATTTACCATTCTCAGTCTTTTGGATATTAGCCATTCTTACTGGAGTGAGATGGTATCTCAAAGTAGTCTTGATTTGCATTTCCGAGATGCTAAGTGATGTTGAGCATTTTTTCATGTGTCTGTTGGCCACTCCTATATCTTCCTTTGAGAAATGTCTATTCAGCTCCTTTGCTCATTTTTTAATTGGGTTATTTGTTTTTTAGCTGTTAAGTTGCTTGAGTTCCTTAAATATTCTGGATATAATCCTTTGTCAGATGTATATTTTGCAAATATTTTGTCCTGCCCTGTTGGCTGTCTTTTCACTCTGTTGATTGTTTCTTTGGCTACGTAGAATTTTTTTAGCTTGATATAATACCATTTGTTTATTTTTCCTTTAGTTGCCTGTGCTTTTTGGGGTCATATTCATGAAGTCCATACCCACTCCTATTTCCTGGAGTGTTTCCCCTGTATTTTCTTTAAGGAGTTTTATTGTTTCAGGATGTATATTTAATTCTTTAATCCATTTTAAGTTGATTTTGGTATATGGTGAGAGATACGGGTCTAGTTTCATTCTCCTACATATGAACATCCAGTTTTCCCAGCACCATTTGCTGAAGAGGCAGTCTCTTCCCCAGTGTGTTGACTTGGTGCCTTTGTCAAAGATCAGGTGGCTGTAGATGTATGGATTGGTTTCTGGGTTCTCTATTCTATTCCACTGATCCATGTGTCTCTTTTTATGCCAGTACCATGCTGTTTTGGTTATTACAGGTTTGTAGTACAGTTCAAAGTCAGGTAGTGTTATCCCTCCAGCTTTATTTTTTTTGCTCAGGATTGCTTTGGCTATG